AGCGAGTGTTTGGTTTGGTTATTTATTTTGTTGTTGTTTTGTTTTTTGGTTGGTCGCAGGGCTTGAACTCTGGGCCTGGGCACTGTCCCTCAGCTCTTCAACTCAAGGCTAGCACTCTACCACTTGAGCCACAGCGTCACTTCCTGTTTTCTGGTAGTTTATTGGAGATCAGAGTCTCACTGACTTTCTTGCCCAGGCTGGCTTTGAACCGTGGTCCTCAGATCTCAGCCTCCTTGTAGCTAGGATTATAGGCATGAGCCACTAGCACCCAGCTGGTTTTTTGTTGTTTTTAGCATTTTTTTTTTCGTCCAGTCGTGGGGCCTGAACTCTGTCCCTCAGCTCTTCAGCTCAAGGCTAGTGCTCTAACACTTGAGCCACAGCGCCACTTCCGGCTTTTTTCTTTTTGCTTATGTGGTGCTGAGGAATCGAACCCAGGGCCTTAGGCATGCAAGGCAAGCGCTCTACCACTGAGCCACATTCCCAGCCCTATTATTGTTTGTTTTTTGGTCAGTAGTGGGGCTTGAACTCGGGCCTGGACACTTGTCTATCAACTCTTCAGCTCAAGGCTAGTGCTCTACCACTTGAGCCACAGTGCAACTTCCAGCCTTTCTGCTTATGTGGTGCTGAGGAATCTAACCCAAGGGCCTCATGCATGCAAGGCAAGCACTCTACCACTGAGCCACCTTTCCAGCCCTATTATAGTTTTTTTTGTTGTTGTTTTGTTTTTGTTTTTGTCATCTGTGGGGCTTGAACTCTGGGCCTGGGCACTATCCCTCAGCTCTTCAGCTCAAGGGGAGCACTCTACCACTTGAGCCACAGCACCACTTCTGGTTTTCTGAGTGGTTTATTGGAGATAAGAGTCTCATGGACTTTCCTGCCCAGGGTTGGCTTTGAACTGTGGTCCTTAGACCTCAGCCTCCTTATAGCTAGGATTACAGGTGTGAGCTACTGGCACCTGGCTCCTATTATTGGTTTTTATAAGTTCATGGACTTAATTCAGATGAAGCCAAAAAGTTCACTCTGAAAGTTAAAAAAAAAGTTGGTTTGGAGCATATTAAAAGATTATATTAATCTGGGCTGGGAAGGTGGCTCAGTGGTAGAGCTTGCCTTGCATGCATGAGGCCCTGAGTTCGATTCCTCAGCACCACATAAGCAGAGAAAAGCCGGAAGTGGTGCTGTGGCTCAAGTGGTAGAATGCTAGCCTTGAGCTGAAGAGCTGAGGGACAGCGCCCAGCCTGAGAGTTCAGGCCCCACGACCAACCAAAAAAAAAAAAATTATATTACTCTGCTATAAAGTTTCTCCAATTAGAAATGATAAAGAGAGGGGCTGGGAAGGTGGCTCAGTAGAGCGCTTGCCTTGCATGCATGAGGCCCTGGGTTTGATTCCTCAGCACTCACATAAGCAAAAAGAAAAAAGCCGGAAGTGGTGCTGTGTCTCAAGTGGTAGAGTGCTAGCCTTGAGCTGAAGAGCTTAGGGACAGCATCCAGGCCCAGAGTTCAGGCCCCATGATCAGACCCCCCCACCCAAAAAAAAAGAAATAATAAAGAGAAAAATTGATTAGATGAATTTTGTTGTTGTTGGTTTTAGGGCTTGAACTCAGGGCCTGGACACTATCTCTGAGCTTTTATGCTAGATAGCTTTTTTTTTTTTTGCTAGCTAGCTTTTATTCAAGGCTAGCACTTTACCACTTGAGCTACAGCTCCACTTCTAACTTTTTTGGTGGTTAATCAGAGATAAGATTCTGAACCATCTTGGCAGGCATCTTTATTTCTTTTTTTGGGGGGGGGAGGGGAGGGTCCGGTTGTGGGGACTGAACTCTGGGCCTGGGTGCTGTCCCTCAGCTCTTCAGCTCAAGGCTAGTGCTCTACCACTTGAGCCACAGCACCACATTTGTCTTTTTTTCTTGGGTCTGGTCGTGGGGCCTGAACTCTGGGCCTGGGTGCTGTCCCTCAGCTCTTCAGCTCAAAGCTAGCGCTCTACCACTTGAGCCACAGTGCCACTTCCGGCTTTTTTCTTTTTGCTTATGTGGTGCTGAGGAATCGAACCCAGGGCCTCAGGCATGCAAGGCAAGCGCTCTACCACTGAGCCAACTTCCCAGCCCCTTGTCTTTTTTCTTATGTGGTGCTGAGGAATCGAACCCAGGGCCTCATGCATATAAGGCAAACGCTCTACCACTAAGCCACCTTCCCAGCCCCAGGCATTTTTATTTCTAAACATGGAAGACAGTGACAAGACCTTCTGTCACTGAGCATTTGTCAAGTCATGTACTTTCTCCTGATTCCCATCACATCTCACCTTGTGATACCACACACAACAATTATCTTAATTGCTTTAGGATCTGTTTTTTTTGGTATCTCAGAAGCAAAAGTACATGAGGATAATGAATATAAATCTGTCCCTGGAAATACAGCCCTCCTATGTAAACTAAGTTGTCTTCTGATTCAAGGAAATGTTTTCTGACCATTTGCTTGGTATGAATAATCCCTAATAAGTAGATAAAATGCCTTTAAAAACAGATATGCTGGGTTGGGGAGGGGAAAACATAGGATCTTTGCCTTAAAGGAGTTCAAGGTCTGATTGGGAAAAGACATATAAATAAATAACTGTAAAATAATAAATCAAAATGTCAAACAGAAGGCACTTTTCTTTTTTTTGTTTGAGGGGGAGGGTAGTACTGAGGCTTGAATTCAGGACCAGTCTCTAACCCTTTAATAGAGTTATAAACAAGGTTATGCTATTACTTTGGAATGAATGGAAATTTGCCACCAGTACAATGTGTTGAAATTACAAAAATGTCAATGTCAGTCTTTGAAAAATTGAGACCAGATTTTTGTACAGAAAATATTTGCTATTCAGTATACACTATGTGGAAAAATGAATTATGTAACTTTTGGGCAGGGAGGGGGAAACTGGGAGAAAGGAAAGGACAGGGTGAGGTTGTTAAAAAAAAAAAGCAATGGGGCTGGGAAGGTGGCTCAGTGGTAGAGCGCTTGCCTTGCATGCATGAGGCCCTGGGTTCAATTCCTCAGCACCACATAAACAAAAAGAAAAAAAGCCAGAAGTGGCGTTGTGGCTCAAGTGGTAGAGCACTAGCCTTGAGCTGAAGAACTGAGGGACAGCACCCAGGCCCAGAGTTCAGGACCCACGACTGGACCCCCCCCCAAAAAAAAAAAGAAATGTACTTATTACCTGACTTAAGAAAGGGTAACCTCTGGGGCTGGGAAGGTGGCTCAGTGGTAGAGTGCTTGCTTTGCATGCCTGAGGCCCTGGGTTCGATTCCTCAGCAGCCACATAAGCAAAAAGAAAAAGACGAATGTGGTACTGTGGCTCAAGTGATAGAGCGCTAGCCTTGAGCTGAACTGCCGAGGGACAGTGCCCAGGCCCAGATTTCAAGCCCCACGACCGGACCCCCCCAAAAAAAATTAAAAACAAGACAGAAATGGTAACCTCTGCACAATACCTTAATAATAAAGATAAAATTATATTTAAAAATACTAGGAGCATGGGGCTGGGAAGGTGGCTCAGTGGAAGAGTGCTTGCCTTGCATGCATGAGGCCCTGGGTTCAATTCCTCAGCACCACATTAGCAAAAAGAAAAAAGCAGGAAGTGGCACTGTGGCTCAAGTGGTAGAGCGCTAGGCTTGAGCTGATAGAGCTGAGGGACAGCGCCCAGGCCCAGAATTCAGGCCCCACAACCAGACCCCCCCCCAAAAAAATACTAAGAGCAACAATGCTAATAAAGTACTTTTTCTAGGGCACCTAGAATCATGAAGCTCTGAGTTCAATCCCTAGTACCATTTTTTTTTGTCGGTCATGGGACTTGAACTCTGGGCCTAAGCACTGTCCCTCCACTCTTCAGCTAAAGGCTAGCACTCTACCACTTGAGCCACAGCACCACTTTCGTTTTTTTGGTGGTTTATTGAAGATAAGAGTATGATGGACTTTCTTGCCTGGGCTGGCATTGAACTGTGATCCTCAGATCTCAGCCTCCTGAGTAGCTAGGATTACAGGAATGAACTACCGGCACTGGTTCCTAGTACCATTTTTTTTTAAAGTACTTTTTTTTTTATGATACAGCCTGCTATAGCCCATGACCATTTCTCATCAAATTGCCATGGCAAATGCTTGTTAAGGAAGTAGAAAATTAAGCAGGAAATTTTTAAAACTTTATCAGATTTCCAGTACTTAAGGGTTTAAGGCTTAAACACTAGATGAGGACTCAAGTCCTACTTCTGCCAAAAGGTGAAGGGTCCCTCAGCATCTCAAGTATTACCTTTGGCTGAGTGGGGAACTCCACCTGTAGAAGGTTAATAAAGGTTAATAGATTAATAACTTCCTGGTGTGTGCACTAACCTGAAGCTTGAACTCAGGGCCTGGGCGCTGTTCTTGAGTTTTTTTTTTTTTTTTTTTGCTGAAAGCTAGTGTTTAACGACGATTGCCACAGTTCCATTTCTGATTTTGTAGGTGGTTAATTGGTAATAAGTCTCATGGACTTTCCTGCCTAGGCTGGCTTTAAACCATGGTCCAATAGCCTGCACCAGGCTTTGAAAGAAGTGTGAGCCTGTAACCTCTTTTAGTATGAATAGGAACTGATCTTTCCAAGAGAAACGTTGATGGCAGGAAATGTAGTATCAAAAGGGAAAATGGCCAGGCCACAGCCTCCAATTTCTTTTGCCTTTCACACTTGCTTTTTCGTGATCACTAATCTGAAGAGTTGCCATACTTATTTCAGGTATTTGTCTTCTCCTGACCTTTTTCTCTTGTCCCAGATTTCTGGTTTTCCAGCTTAGTAGGGACCAGTTTCTCCACAAGCAGCCTTTTCCCTCAGTGCCACCCAGTCCTACCCAGCCCCACATCTAGCTCTGGCTGCCAGAGCCTGGGAGCCACAAGATCTCCACAGCTGGAGCTGGACGGAGGGGCGTGGCTTCCGCAGGCGGAGGGGCGGGACCCGGTGGACAGGAGGGCGCGGCTGAGGCGGGCGGGGGGGGGGGCATGGCGCATGCGCCCTGCGTTCACCGCGCCGAACTGCAGCTATGGAACAAACACCTCCGGACCCCGAGAGGCAGATGCAGCCTGCGCTCCTGAAGCCGCCTGGTCACCCCGACTCCGGGCTGGAGGCTGCGATTCGTGAGGAAGCCGAGGGGGCCCCGGAAGACAGCTCTGGGTTGGGCACGGTGAGGAGCAGGGGCGGCGAAGGCCTCGGGGCCTGTGTCGGGGCCTAGCGGGCCGGGCCGCCGGAGCCGGGGCTGGGGGGCTCGGCCTGGGGGTCCGCGGGTGAGGCGGGGCGGGGGCCGCCGGTGCACGGGTGGGAGTTCAGCGAGCCGAGGGCGTGCGGTGGGAGAGGGCGTCTCGTCCGGCTCGGGGTGGGGGTGGGGGACCCCGGGGAGGCGCCTGGCGCCGGCCGCAGGGGGCCTGGTGGGGGGTGTGTAGCACGCCGAGGCCGAGGCCGGCCTGGAAGAGGGGCGCAGGCGTGCCTTGCAGCCTGCTAGGGGGTCCCGCCGGGGAGAGGGCGTGCTGGGGTCGCCGTGAGGGTGGACGGAAGGGGACGGGAGTTGGGTGGGGAGCGGGGCTGGGCGGGCCGCGGGCGGGCTGGGCTTGGGCCTCCGGGGGGTCAGGGCCGCGGGCGGGCCAGTGCGGTTTCGAGGAAAGGTGCCGACGATGACGCTGCCATTGGACTGTAGGGCTCGAGTTTCTGGATTCGTGTGGAGTACTGCACTGCCTGTGGCAGAGTTCTCCCGTTCCCCTGCATCGCTGCTTTGGGAACGAGCGATTTTCACGTGCTTGAAGACCAGGAGGAGAATGATGTGGGCAAGCCTTTCGTTCCCAAGCCCTCGCGTGCGACGCAGCGTTTGTGGACCAGGTTCACTGGAAGCATTTCAGAAGGGTCCTTTACTGTGCCGCTGCTCATTTTTATTTCTAGAACAGGTGTTAGCGCTAATGTTAAGTGGCTCATCTTTTTGATGGATGGGTGAAGAAAAGTTGTTCGCTAAACTGTAACTGAAAAGACACTAAACTTAGGTTCCAGCCATGCAGGAGTTGAAGGTTTTGCCTACTTCAGAAACTATCAAGGTATCTAAATGAAGGCTGTGTGTGTGTGTGTGTACACGCGTGTACGTGCACGTGCTCTGCCTGTATTGGGGCTTGAAGTTAGGGCCTCACACTCTTTGAGCTTTTTTTCCCCTCAAGGCTGGGCGCTACCACTTGAGCCACAACTCCATCGCTTGAGCCACAACTCCACCCACTTTCGACTTTTGGTTGTTAATTGGAGACAAGAGTCTCATGGATTTTTCTGCCCAGGTTATCTTTGACTGGTGATCCTCAGCTCTCAGCATCTGGAATAGCTAGGATTACAGGCAAGAGCCACTGATGTAAGGCTTGTAGCATCTTTCCATATGCTTATTTGCCATTTGTATCTCTTGTTTGATGAGATATCTATTAAGGCATTTTGCCAGTCCTTGCCCTCCTTACAGTGTTGAGGATATATATAGCTCAGTGGTACGCGTACATGTACTTAGTATGCAGGAGGCCTTGAGTTCAATCCCAGGAACATTAAAAATGATGAAATAAGCTGGGTCTCAGAGGTTCACCTCTGTAATTCCAGCTACTTAGAAGGCCGAGATTGGGAGAATCACATTTGAGGTCCACCTGAGCAATGAAAGTTTGTGACACTGTTGTTTTTTTTTTTTGGGTCCGGTTGTGGGGCCTGAACTCTGGACCTGGGCGCTGTCCCTCAGCTCTTCAGCTCAAGGCTAGAGCTCTAACACTTGAGCCACAGTGCCACTTCCGGCTTTTTTCTTTTTGCTTATGTGGTGCTGAGGAATCGAACCCAGGGCCTCAGGCATGCAAAGCAAGCGCTCTACCACTGAGCCATCTTCCCAGCCCTGTGACACTGTTATCTCCAATTAATCACATAAAAAAAAAAACCCAAACATGAGTGGAGCCTTGGCTTGAGCAGTAGAGCGCTAGCAAAAAGGTCAAGTTGGGGCACCTTTCTCAACTGAGAGCGGGAGCAGTGATGCAGCTGTCATCCTAGCTACAATGAGAAACTTAAAATAGGTGGCTAAGTGGTATAAGTGTGCACCCAGGTTGGAAGTGAGACCCTATATAAAAAATGACCAGGGTACTAAAAAAGACTGATGTTGTGGCTCAAAGTAGAGCACCTACCTAGCAAGTACAAAGCTCTGAGTTCAGATCCATTACTGTTATAAAAGCAGAATAAAACCTAGCCAAATGAGCAAGTATAATGCAATATATATATATATATATGAATTGAAACATTTATGTATGCCATAAATATGTATAGATATTATATGTCAAAAATAAATTTAGAAGCCAGGCACCATAGGCTCATGCCTATAATCCTAGCTACCCAGGAGGCTGAGATCTGAGGATCATGGTTCAAAGCAGTAAAGTCCATGAGACTCTTTCTTATCTCCACTAAACCACCAGAAAACTGGAAGTGGCACTTGGCTCAAGTGGTAGAGTGTTAGCCTTGAGCTGAGAGGCTGAGCTGAAAAGCTGAGGGATAGCACCAAGGCCCAGAGTTCGAGCCTCATGACTGACAAAAAATAAAAAGTAAAAAAAAGTAAAAAACAAATTTAGAACTGGTTATGGTGTCAGACACCTGTAATTCTAGCACCATGGAAGCTGAGACATGGATTGTGAGTTGAAGACCAGCTTGGGCTATGTGGATAGATCATATCTCATAACATCAACAACAAAAAACAGGTACTAGTACTCACACTGTAATCCTATCTTCTTGAAACATAATGGTTCCAAGTCACTGGGGCAGAAAAATTTGGGAGACCCCTCTCAACTGATAGCTGTGTTAAGTAGCACATGCCTTTCATCCTAGCTATGTGAGGAGGCTAAGATTGAGAGGATTGTGGTTCCAGGTCCACACTTGGTAGAAAATCCTGAAAGATTCCATCTCAGCAGAAAGAAGCTGGGCAGATGTCAGAAGCCTGTCTTCCCAGTTATGATGAGAAGCTTAAACTAGGTGGGTCAAGGACCAGGCATGTGCCTAGGCAAGAAGTAATACCTTATCTCAGAAATAACCAGTGGCTCTAGCTTCTGCATAAGAGAGAAAACATTCACTGTTTGTCTCTCTGAGCTTGGCTTACCTCACTTAACATGATTTGTTCTAGGTCCATCTATTTCTTTGCAAATGACACAATGTTACTTCTAATGGCTTTGTAATATTCCTTGTATATAGGTACATTTTTTGTATCCACTCATTTGGAAACTAGATCTAAAATATACTGGGACATGATAAATTATACAGGACTCCAGGCAGTCACACACTGAAACCAAAGGAGGATACTCTTAGGAAAGGATCACAAAAAGACAATGCCTATGTGCCTCTGATCACAGAAAATAATGTTTATTAAAAAATGAACTCCAGGGCTGGAAAGGAGGCTCAGTGGTAGAGCGCTTGCCTTGCATGCCTGAGGCCCTGGGTTCGATTCCTCAGCACCACATAAGCAAAAGAAAAAGGCTGGAAGTGGCGCTGTGGCTCAAGTGGGTAGAGCACTAGCCTTCAGCTGAAGAGCTGAGGGACAGTGCCCAGGCCCAGAGTTCAGGCCCCACAACTGGACCCCAAAAAAAAAAAAACTCCAGGAAATGGAAACTAGAGGTTTTTTTTTTTCTGTTTGTGTTTTCTTATCTTGTTTGTTTATTTGTCTTTGGGAGGATGAGGAAGGCCCAGAAATAGAGGGACAAAGGGTGAACAAATGCAGCAGTGATAGTCACTAGATACTAGGTTGAAAATGAATTATACAACATCTGGGAGGGGCTGGGAGGGAAAAGCTGAGACTGAGGGAAGGGGTGACATCGTCCAAAAAGAAGTGCATTCTTTATCTGACTAATGTAACTGAAACCCCTCTGTACATCATCTTTATAAGAACAATAAACAAAAAACCAAGGGAGGCAGATGCTGGTGGCTCTTACCTGTAATCCTTTCTACTCAGGAATCTGGGATTGAAGGACCCCTGTTTGAAGCCACACTGGGCAGGAAAGTCTGTGAGATTCTCATCTCCAATTAACAACAAAAGCCAGAAGAGGAGTTTTGGTTCAAGTGTTTGAGCGCTAGCCTTGAGCAAAAGAAGCCCAGGGACAGACCCTGAGTTCAAACTTCAGGACTGGAAAACAAGACAATGCAAAAAATAGTGGAAAAAAGATCTGGAGTGTAGTTCAGTGGTATAACATCTGCTTACCAAGCAAAAGCCCTTGAGCCCAGTACCACCAAAAAAAAATAAAATATGAAGCCAGGCACCAGTGGCTCATGCTTATAATCCTATCTACTCAGGCGGCTGAGATCCAGGATCCCAGTTTGAAGCCAGCCAGAGCAGCAAAGTCTGTGAGATTCTTATCTCCATTAAACTACTAAAAAAGCCAGAAGTAGAGCTGTGGCTCAAGTAGTAGTAGAGTGCTAGCCTGGAGCAAAAGCAGCTCAGGGATAGTTCTCAGGCCCTAACTTCAAGCTGCAGGACTGGCACCAAAAATTACAAACAAAAAATAAAAATAATATATGACAGAACTATGTATTTTAGTGAAAAATCCAACAATGTATATTTCATTTAAGATATGGGAAAACCCAGAAATGCCACAATATAGTAGAGGTTGTACTTAGATACTATCACTTGGTGTTTTTGGAAAATGTAACTATGTGTTAGGAGAGGCCATTCATTAGGGACCAAAAGTATGGGGTTTCTTAACTCCCTAATTGAATGATTCATAAAGACACACAAGCCATTTGGACAGATACTTAAGAATCACATGAAGTTTAAACACATATTTATTCAGTACAATCCTCTCCCTCCCCACCCCTAAAACTTTCTTTGAGGGTCATCCAAACCATCTTTCTATCTCCTCTTCCACCCATTCTGTTTCCAGTTGAGAATTATTACAATAGTTGTAGCCTAGAAATATGGTCTAGGCAGAGAGGTAAGTTAGACTTGATTTCTGTGTGCTATGTCCATTGAAGCTCTCATTTAGTTCTCAAAATGAGGAATCAAAGTTCTAGTAGTAGTAGTGTGACTGGGATTTGAGCCCAAGAAGACCTGGCATTGAATTCAGTTTGTTTTGATATGAATATATATGTATATATATATATATACACACATATATATATTTACATATATATACATATGTATTTAGAGGAGGGGATTGATTT